CCTCCCTCCTTCTTCCCGGACCGGCCCGGGAACCAGGACCGTGTCGCCTCCCTTCCCCTCTCCCGCCCCCCTGATTCTGGTACCAGGGGAACCGGGACCGCCCCCTCCTCCAGCCCCGCGGGAACCGGGACCGCTTCCCGATCCCGGTCTGGCCCCGGGGAACTGGGACCACCCTYGGGAATGCCCCGAGGGCCCTGGGAGCAAATCCCGAGGGAGGGAACGGCACTGGGAGCAGTCACCCCCTCCTCCTGGGACCAACCTCCGGGAATGCCGGGGGGACCAGGCGCAACCCTGGGACCCATCCCTGCGACCCCAAGCTTGGGAAGGGCGATCCCCCCTGGAATGAACCCCSTGGAATATCCCGGGAATGATCCCGGGACTGACGCCTCTGCTCAGCTCCCCGCGGATCTGCATGAAGTGCAAGGAGAGCCCGGCCGCCCTCGTCATCCGCATCAAGGATCCCTTCTGCCGGTGAGCACCGGGACGGGGACCCGCGGGGACCCGCGGGATCCCGGCCACGGCTCATCCCGGCCGCGTCCCCGCAGCTCCTGCTTCCRGGAATACTTTGTGCACAAATTCCGGGCCGTGCTGGGCAAGAACCGCGTCATCTTCCCGGGAGAGAAGGTAGCGGGAGGCAACGGGGGGGCCGGCGGGAGGCCCCGGCGCCCCCTCATCCCGCCCGGCTCCTCGTGCAGGTGCTGCTGGCGCTGTCCGGAGGGCCCGCATCCAGCGCCATGCTCCGGCAGGTCCAGGAGGTGAGCGTGGGGCTGGCGGCATCCCGGAGGGAGCAGCCTCGGGAATGCCGCTGCCGCCGGGCTCATTTCCCACCGCTCTTCCCAGGGRCTGAGGCGGGAGACAGCCAAGAAGCTGCGCTTCATCCCCGGCATCATCTTCGTTGATGGTAAGGAGAGCCCGGCGGCTCGCGTGCCGTGACYGGAGCCGCGGGGACGGACTCCCGTATCCCGCCGGGGCATCCCCGCCGCATTCCCGCTTTGCTCCCAGAGGGAGCCGTGTGCGGGCAGAGCGCGGAGCAGCGGGAGCAGAGCCTGGCCGCTGTGGAAGCCATCGCGCAGGCCACCGGCTTCCCCTTCCACGTGGYGCACCTGGAGCAGGTAGGGATGGCAAGCTTTGGGGCAGAGCTTGGRCACACTGTGGGGTTGGGGATGGTGACGTGGTGTCCTCAAAACCCCCCGGAAAAAATCCGACTGCCCCGCTGGGGAACTTTGCGCCGTGTCGGTCCCCCATCCTCGGTGCCCGTGTCCTCTCCCTCCTCAGGCCTTCGAGCTGCCCAGCTCCATCCTGCGCCGGGGCGCGCGGGGCAGCGCCGCGGGCCCTGGCTACAAGGCGGCCGTCCAGGGCTTCATCCAGCAGCAGCAGCAGCGGCAGGAAGCGGCCGGCGGCGATGGAGCCGCCTGCCCGGCCCGGCCCCACAGCCCGGACACGGCCGCGGGCTCCCGGCTGCCCGACGCGGCCCTCACCCAGCAGCTGCTCCGGTTTTTCGAGGCGGCGGAGACGCTGACGGCCAAGGAGGAGATGCTGCAGATGCTGCGGTGAGCGGGGGTGGCCCCTGTCCTCCCCCCGGCCACAGCGCCGTGGGGCTGAGTGGGAATGTCCCTGTCCCCGCAGGACGCACCTCATCGTGCACGCGGCCAGGACGCAGGGATACAGCAAGGTCATGATGGGCGACTGCTGCACCCGCGTGGCYGTCAAGCTCTTCACCAACCTGGCCCTGGGCCGCGGCGCCTTCCTTGCCATGGACACGGTGAGTGGCCCCGCGGTCCCTTCCCCGTGGTGGCACTGCCTGGTGACAGCTGCCCCTGGCAAGGAGAGCAGAGGGGACTTGCGCTGCGCACTGTTSTGTCCCTGGCTGGCTCAGAGCCACGGGGGGCTGCAGGGGGACCCCGCTGTCCCTCAGCACCCGCGTCCCTTCGCGCAGGGCTTCCTGGACACACGACACGGTGACGTGGCCGTGGTGCGGCCCATGCGCGACTACATGGCCAAGGAGATCGCCTTCTACAACCACTTCTTCGGCGTGCCCACCATCACCACGCCTGCCCTCCGCCCCAAGGTGAGGAATTAGCCCCCTCGGYGGGCGTGCAGAGCTGGGGACTCCGGCTGGGGCACCACGGGGACTGGCTGGCCCCTGGCTCCGTGTGCCCTGTTGTGCCCGAGCCCTCTCCRCTCGCTCCCGCAGCGCCGCGAGAAGCCCAGCATCCACCACGTGACAGAGAAGTTCCTCGTGGAGCTGCAGGTGGATTTCCCGTCCACCATCAGCACCGTGTACCGGTAAGGGCTGTGCACGCCCTGCTGCGGGGGCTGGCACGGACAGGGGGGCACCCCCGGGGGTCCTGGGGCCCTTTGCTGCCTCTCATGGGCCCATCCACCAGGACGGGTGAGAAGCTGAGCCCAGCTCCTGCGGAGGGCACCTCYGAGTCGGAGCTCTGCCTGCTCTGCCTGTGTGCCCTGGACACCCTCACGGGTGAGTGGGGACCGCGACGGGGGCACACGCGGGTGGCACCGGCGTGGCCACAAGCCCTGAGCTCCCGGTTGCCCTCGGGCTCGCGCAGAGGAGGAGCTGGCCCTGGAGCCCACGCTGATCTGGGACGAGGAGGCGCCGCAGGGACCTGCCGGGGACGGCTGCTGCAAGACGGGGACACCAGGAGGCTGCTGCAAGACGGGGACACCAGGAGGCTGCTGCCAGGGCACCCCGATGCCACAGTAAGGGGCCAGGGACCAGGCTGAGGCCACACGGTGTTCTGGAGCCCTCAGCTACCCGCTCAGCAGTGTCTCTGTGCAGGGCTGAGAGGAAATCCGCCTTCGTGCCGCTGCTCTGCTACGGCTGCCGCCTCACCTTCAAGGAGATGGTGAGGGAGCCGGGCCGCTCGGCTCCCGCCGGAGCCACGCGTGTCCTCCCGCTCGGCCCTCCCGCTCTGCCCGGGCCCTCTCTCTCTTGCAGGGCCCCCTGGACACGCTGCCRCCCTACATGCGCTTGGAGGCCCAGCAGAGGATCTGCGGGTACGGTGGGGACACCGGGGCACTCCTCCGCGCCACATCCCATGAGGGGACGGTGTGTCAAAGCTGAGACCACGTCGTCCCTTCCAGGGCCGAGGTGAAGCAGCAGGCGCAGGAAGTCCCGCTGCAGAACGGTGACAAGGAGCCTGGCGGGGACCCCTGAGGCCCCAGCTGTGCCTCCTGCTGGGGACAGGCCCCTGCGCCCTTCGGGACACCTTGGATGGACAAGGTGCCACCCCTGTGGACACCATCCTCTAGGACGGTGAAGGACCAGAGCCACGGCTGGAAGACATGCTGGGACACTCACTGTGACTGCAGGTGTCCAAGTGGCTGCTTTTAAACCCAACTTAAATTATTTGGTCAGGGAGAGGGGACTCAGAGCGCCCATCCCCAGCAATGCTCAGTCCACCAATGCCAGGGTGGCCCTCGCCCCAGCAGCACATGGACGAGGGAGGCCTCAGTTTTGTTTTATTACGTATCTGTATAAATAAACCATTTGACTTTAAAAAAGAGTCTACAGTCCAGCTGGAGGCGCTGGGGGCAGCCGGCAGCCGCCCCCCGGGGCCARGGGACCCCGGCTCCTATTGCTTCGAGTTCAACCTGGTTGGGGCGCAGGGCTGGGCAGGGGGCCTGGGGCACCCCCTGCCCTCGCGAAGGCACGTCGTGGTCCCCGTGGCACTGGGACACGGGCGCTGCCCCCGCGGGGCACAAAAACAGCCTTAAAAACAGTAGTGTGGCTGCCCCGTGGCGCCCAGAGGGACCGGTGTCCCCGCGGGGGGACACGCGGCGGCCCTCGGTCCCCAGCGCTCCCGCGAGGCTGCTGGTTAAGGCATTGGCGGTGATGTCCCTGCGAGGGGGCCCGCGGGCGGTCCCCCTTCCTCCTACTCTTTCTCCCGCGTCCACTTGATCATGGTCTCGGGGGAGCGGTAGAGGAAGATGAGCTTGGCGTASAGCTCCTCCTCCAGCTCCAGCTCGCCCGTCTCGCGCACCAGGAAGATGTCCTGGCACAGCTTGAGGATGCGGTCCACGCAGGGCAGCTCCTCGAACATGATGGAGTGCGAGATCTCGCTGAAGAAGCCRCGCACGAACTTCCCGATCACCAGCACGATGGAGACGTAGAGCCCCATGATCCTGCGAGGGGTGGTGATGAGCGYGAGGGCGGCCTTCGGCCTCGCCGCCCCGAGGGCAGCCCCCGCAGCCCTCCCGCATCCCCACGCACCCGTAGCCGGCCAGGAAGCCCAGGCTGGGCGGGCTGACTTTGTCGTTGAAGATGACCATGGGCAGGATGTTGCCGTCGCGCGCCGGCGCGTCCTTCAGCCGCACCACCCACCACTCGAGGAAGCTGTCGCTGCCRCGGCCCGAGCCCACGCGCTCCCGCTTCAGCTGCACCTCCACGTCCAGGTAGCTGTCCTCACCGTCTGGGCACGCATGGGGACATCAGGACACGGTCCCCGGGGTCCCCTGCAGCCCCCCGAGTCCGGCACCCACCTGGCAGCAGCTGCTTCACGGGGTTGGCCTCGGGCCCGTTGGGCGCACGGATGTACTTGGGGAAGAGCTTGGGCACTTGCCTGCAAGGGAGCGCGGGTGAGCGAGGCGCCCGACGCCCCACGGCCACCGCGGGGTCCCACGGGCACCGCGGGGTCCTGCGGGCAGCACCCCCTGCACTCACACGGGGGTGTTGCGGGTGCCCTGCAGCAGCGCGGCCAGCTCCGCGCGCTGGGGCGCGCCGGGCTGCAGGTCCGTGGTGTGCTTGTCGAAGGTGTGCTCCACCGTGCCGCCCTTGCCCAGGTCCCTGCGGGCACAGCGCGCTGAGCGGGGCCCCGGCCCGCGCCGCGGAGCCGCCCCCGTGCCCGCCGCTACCTCTGGAAGGTCCAGGTGAGGCGCAGGGTGATGTCGGAGGAGCCGTTCTGCAGCTCGCGCCGCATCTGCTCGCGGCTCGGCGGGCTGATGCTCCACAGCGAGCCCGAGCTGCCCTCGATGCGGGCCGTGACGATGTCCTCGTAGCTGTACAGCGTGATGAACTGCATGGCCACCTGCGCGGAGGGACGGGCACGGCTCAGCCGCGGCCCCCCGTGCAGCCCCCCGGCCCCGCGCCCCAGGGTGTCGGGGCTTGTTTTACCGGCTGCCTCTCGAACTCGTTGGTCAGGGCCTCGTAGTCCTGCGGGGTGAAGGGCTGGATCGACTGCTGCTGGGCGCTCATGGTGAACAGCGGCTGCGGGGGCGCAYGGACAGGGCGGCATCAGCTGGGGGGGCCCAGGCGTCCGAGCGCGGCGCCGCAGCCCCGGTGGGGGGGCACAACCCGCTGTGCTCACCTCGTACCCCCCCAGCTTGAGCGTGACGGTGACGTCGATGGGGTGGTTCACAACGCCCACCACGGAGCGCACCAGCGACATGAAGAGCAGCGGGAACCAGATGATGGCCACGAGGAAGAGGATGATGAGGCCGCCCATGCCGTACTTCACTATCTTCTTCTTCTTCTGCCCCTTGGGCTGCGGGTATTTCTGCGGGAGACGGCGGGCTCAGCGCGGTGCCGGGGCTGGGGGACATGCACAAGTCCCTGCCTGGCACTCGGGGACGGGCRGAGCGATGCCGAGATCCCACCTTCTCCGTCTCGCGGCTGCACTTGATGATGAAGATGTTGGCATAGATGTCCTCCACGCACATCCAGTTGGACAGGGACAGCGTGGTGTCCGTCCAGACCCAGTCCATAACAGCGCGCAGCTCCACCAGGAAGGGTACGAGGCGAAAGCTGCGGGAATGGGAGAGCATCTGTGCTGGATGGCAGTGTCTGTCCTGCCCCATAGGCTGCCCTATGGCCAAGACAGACCGATGGGTCTGTCACCCTCCGTCCCCTACCCTTGGAAGAGGAAGAGGTTGAGGTGGTTGTATTTCTTGGTGAGGAAGTTGCCCAGGATGCGGGTAGGGTAGCCGCAGCGGATCTGGTAGGCGGACAGCGCAAAGTAGATGCACTTGACAAAGTACCACAGCTGGGCCACCGTGTTGAGGCTGAACAACCTGCAGGCACCATGCGGGGGGACCCGTAACTCCTCTGGCCACTGATCCCCCCTGCTTGGGCCACCAGKGCCGGGCCAGTGGCTCACAGCAACACCAGCACCACGAAGGTGACAGGAAGGCACCAACCAAGCGCCACGTGGCCTCGGCTCTGGATACCCTCAGACCCCTTCAGTCCAAGCATGGGCCACCCAAGGAGCACTCCCCATGGATRGACCAGGATGGGGGGCACGGCCAAGCCGGTACCTCTCAGTGACGGCCGGCAGGATGAAGAACATCCAGAGGTGGATGCTGAAGACCAGGATGACCTGGAAGACGAGCTTGCCCAGCACGGTCTTGCGGAGGTAGAGCGCGCGGTCGATCACCATGGTGGTGAACTGTATGAGCAGCATGACCAGGAAGGCCTCCGGCACCTGGTCGTCCGACAGCGAGGACGTGATGTCGGCAGCAGCCGAGTGTTTCTGCAGGGACAGCAGATGTGAGGATGCAGCCCGGGCTGCCCCACGTCACCTCGTGCCACCCTGCAGGGCGGCCCGCGGCCCCACGCACCCCAAAGGCCCAGAAGCCGAAGATGATGATGATGAAGTCGACCACGTCGGCGAGGAACATGAAGGCGTAGACGTCGGTGGCGGCGCGGTACTGGGTGTGCAGGATGTCGTGGAAGAAGCCACGCACGGGCTGGTACACGTTCTGCGCCCTGCAGGGGACACGGGGACAGAGGGGACGGGTGTCCCACGGGCTCCTGCCACAGCCCTCCACCCCGGGCACTCACATGGTGAGGAAGAAGAGCTTGACCCGGAGCCCAAACTTCTTCAGCTTCTTCTGAGAGTGGCTCTGCTTCACCTCCTCCTCCCCTTCTTCCTCCTCCTCCTCTTCCTCCTCCTCGCCGCCATGCCCTGCAGAGCCAGCWCAGGCTCAGCGTGGGGACAGCAGGGCCAGGGCACGGGGAGCCCAGCACCTCCACGCCGCTCACCTTCCTCCACGGCCTCCTGCCTCTTGCTCCAGAGCTTCTTCTTCCTCCGGAAGCGGAGGTGGCTTCCGCCCTCGTCCTGCCCCACGGCATCGTCCTCCTGCCCTGGCCCCACRGCCGCTGCCGGCACCTCCGGCCCCCCGTCACCGCCCGCCGGGGGCTCTGCTTCCTCCCGCCGCTCCTCCTCCTCCTCCTCCTCCGGACGCYTCTTGGCCAGGGGGTCCTCCTCATGGTCCCACAGCCCGTAGCACTGGGGAAGGGCGCAGTTAGCTGGAGCTGCCGCGGGTCCCTCTATGTGCTTCGCCCCACCGTGTCACCCCGGCGGCTGCCCTGGCCATCCCACGGAACCAAGGGCGCTGASGCTTCCCAGGGAGCGGAGCCACCAGAAATCAGCGTCGGGGTGGGAAACATCTCCCATCTGCCCTAGGAGCAAAGGCTGAGGGAGCTGGGCATGGAGAAGAGGAGGCTGAGGGGGGACCTGAGCAGTGTCTATAGATACCTCAATGGTATCTACACCCCTTGCAGTGGTGGCCAGCGATAGGACTAGAGGAAACGGCCACAAACTGAAGCACCAAACGTTCCACGGGAACTAAAGGAAACATTTCTTGACAGTGAGGGTGACAGAGCCCTGGGACAGGCTGCCCAGAGAGGCTGTGGAGTCTCCTTCGCTGGAGGTCTTCCAAACCTGCTTGGATGCAGCCTGTGCCACATGCTATGGGTGACTCTGCATGTGCAGGAGGGGTTGGGCTAGATAACTTCTAGAGATCCCTTCCAACCTTAGGCATTCTATGAAACAAGAGATGGAGATGCCCAAGGGCTGGAGATCATAGCGTCATTATGGTTGGGAAAGACCTTCAAGATCACCAAGACCACTCGAGCTGCCCAAGGGCCGGCCCCTGCTCACCAGCAGCAGCGAGCGGTGGAAGAAGAGCGCCAGGAGCTGCAGCAGGTCGTACTTGATGTAGCGGTCGGTCTTCTCCAGGCCCAGGATGCGGGGCGGGAAGAAGGGCTTGCCCTCGTTGCGCACCAGCGTGGCGTAGCTGTTCCACGGGAAGAAGCCRAACTGGAAGAGGTATTTCACCACCACCATGACCTGCGGAGGGGACGGGGTCAGCGGGAGAGCCCTGGGGACCCCACGGGCCCCCGCTGCCCGTGCCCACCTCRGTGAAGATGATGGCCGTCATCCAGAAGCGCTTGCTGGGCCGGGGGATGGAGAGCATGGCCCAGAGGAAGACGAGGATGGGCAGGAAGAGGGAGATGACGGAGGCGGTCACCATGTTGTTGAGGATGATGATGAAGTAGCAGAGCAGCTCCGAGTGGGCGGCCACGCAGTGGTAGGCGGCCAGCAGCAGCTTGAGGAAGCGGTTGTGTGACTGGTAGAACTGATCCGACTCCTCCAGCGTGGCGAAGTAGAGGCGCCTGGGGGGCACGCGGGGCTGAGCCGACACCGTCTGGGTGCACGGCCACCATCCCTGAGTGCACGGCCACCGTCCTGGGTGCACAGCCACCGTCCCGGGTGCATGGCCACTATCCCGGGTGCACGGCCACCGTCCCGGGTGCATGGCCACCGTCCCGGGTGCATGGCCACTATCCCGGGTGCATGGCCACTATCCCGGGTGCACGGCCACCATCCCTGAGTGCACAGCCACCGTCCCGGGTGCACGGCCACCATCCCTGAGTGCACGGCCACTATCCCGGGTGCACGACCACTATCCCGGGTGCACGGCCACCGTCCCGGGTGCACGGCCACCATCCCTGAGTGCACGGCCACCGTCCCAGGTGCACGGCCACCGTCCCGGGTGCACGGCCACCGTCCCAGGTGCACGGCCACCGTTCTGGGTGCACGGCCACCGCCCTGGGTGCACGACCACTATCCCGGGTGCATGGCCACCATCCCCGAGTGCACAACCACTGTCCCCGGTGCACAGCCACCGTCCCGGGTGCACGACCACTATCATGGGTGCACGGCCACCGTCCTGGGTGCACGACCACTATCCTGGGTGCACGACCACTATCCTGGGTGCACGGCCACCATCCCCGAGTGCACAACCACTATCCCAGGTGCATGACCACCATCCCGGGTGCACAGCCATTATCCTGGGTGCACAACCACCGTCCCCGGTGCACGACCACCATCCTAGGTGCATGGCCACGGTCCCAGGTGCACGGCCACCCTACAGTGACTGCATCCAACCCCCGTCCCGGCGCTGGTACCTGTTGAGGAGCAGCTCACTGGCGGTGCGGCTCCGGTTCTGGGGAAGGGCCAGCAGCTCCCGCGAGCCGGCCACATCCTCCTGCGAGCTGGCCACGTCCTCCTGCAAGCCCAGGGCCAGCAGCCGCTCCTGCTGCTCCGGGGCGGCGTCGGGACGCGCGGCCCGCTTGGCTCCTCCGCACCCGCTGGGGACAGCGCGGGACAGACCGTGAGCCGCTCTGCCCGYGGGGGGCCACGCGGGGCCGGGCGCGTGTCCCTGCCACCCGGCGAGCCCCGCGGGGCCGTCTATGCACCTGCCTTGAAGCGAGGCCGTTTCGGGGCTCCGAGCCCCCCGTTGCCCGCTGGCTCRGCTCCTCGGGGCAGCCGTCCGGTGGCAGCACGTAGAGCTCATCCAGGACGCCCCGGTGCACGTCCTCGCCCTGCGCGTGGGCACAGCGTCAGCGGGACCATGCCGTGCTATGCCCCATGCCGTGTCCCCTGCCCGGCCCCGGCCCCGCTCACCTTGGCCAGCCGCTGCGTGAGGACGTATCTCTCGACGCGCAGCACCGTGGACATGTCCGTGTGCTCCTTGTTGAAGGCGTCGAGCCACTGGGTGAGCCCGTCCACCATGGCCTGGCACAGCACCCACAGGAAGCGCAGGGTGTTCAGCGCCCGCTGCAGCACGTTGCCCCGCTCTGCGACGGCGAGGGGAGAGAAAGGGCAGCGCTTTTGCATCAGCTCGTGTGCCTGCAGACCCCTGCCGTCCTGCCTCCCACCTACCTGACCCTTCCTCCTCCTCTTCCTCCTGTCCTTCCTCCTCTGCAGGTGCCTCAGCCTCGGATGTCCTCTGCCCTCCACCGTCCCCTGTAAGGCAGACGGCGCTCAACCCTATTGTAGCCATCAGAGAGTCCCCTTTTGCGCAGAAAACCGCAMTGAGACGATGCTCTCCTGAGGGGATCCCAACAGATCTGCCTGTCGGGGTCCCCCGAGCGCCCCCAGCCCCGTTTGGGAGGCGGGCRGGCGTGCGGTCCCACCTGCAGCGGGCTCAGCGCCTGCTTGCTCCAGCTCCTGCTGCTCCTGCTGCCTCAGCGCCGTCTTGGTGTTGGTCATCCAGGCCTGGTAGGCCAGCTGTGCCGGGGGGCGCGGGGCCGTGAGCGCGCGGGGGTCCCGGCCGGGTGCCCCTGCCCGGCGGGGCCGCGCTCACCTGGAATGCGCTCTGCTTGCCCGGCCGCGGCTCCTCCGGAGCAGCCTCCTCCTCCTCCTCGCTGTCCGACTCGAAGAGGAAGTATTCGCCCGAGTGCAGCACTGCCGGAGCGTCACGGGGCGCGTGTCACCGGGTGCCGTGGCACAGCCGGCGCAGAGCCCGCTGCCGTCCGTCCCCTCAGGGCTCTGCTGGAGCCCCGGGACACCGACGGGCATTCCCCATCGGAGACGGCAGCATGAGGGCTCCGTGTGGGGGTCCCCACAGCGGCATCCAGAAAGGCTCCCAGAGGGAATGCTGGAGCCCCCCGAGTCATTGCCCCGTTAGTGCCCGGTAGCAGGAAAAGCCCTGGTTAACGTCCTGCAACCCAGAGAGGGGACGGGGGRCATGCGGGTGGCACCTGGCCCCAAGCAGCCTCACCAGCGCTCCACGCGGCCCCGCAGGGGTTAGCGGCCGCGGCCGTGGGGCAGCGCCCCGGTTAGCGCCCCGTGCCAGGGCAGTACCTGCGGCGTGGTCTAACCAAGGCCGCCACCACCGCTCCCTGTGCCGCGACGGGTCCGCTGGGCCGCCGGGCTCTGTGGAAGGGCACGCGCGGCGCTGAGACCTGCCACGCTCATCGCACGGCAGGGAGCCGAGCACGGCGGGGCGGGAGCGTCGGTTCACCGCAAGGCTCCGGCGCCGGGGCGTCTCGCCCGTGCCCTGCCGGCAAGGACGCGGGACGAGCCGAGGGCGGCCGGCGGCGGTGACGGGTCGAGGCCACCCTGCTGCGCCCCGGGAGGGCAAGGGGGGAGGCTGGAGGGGCCGCGAGCRCCGGGCTCTCACCTGCGCCGGCCTCGTCCTGGCCGGCGCCGCCGGGCAGCCGCTCCTGGTGGTACTTCTCCTGTTTGGCCCGGATCCGCTCCATCCTGTGAGGTGCGGGATGCTCCGGAGCGGCTCTGTGCCGGGACCTCCCCAGGGGACCTCCCCAGGGGACCACCAAGCCCCAGAGGGGTCCCATAGAATCTCCCATCCCTCCTTGGACCCCCAGTGCACAGGGGAGCCCTATCTCATGGCCAGGGGGGATCCCCAAAAACTGACTCACTGCCGCTTGAGCTGCGCCAGCGACTTCTTCTCGGCCTGGCGGTGCGAGCGCATGCTCTTCAGGATGCTGGCCTTGAAGAGCGCGACACCCCTGCGGGGACAGCGCATGCCCTGAGCGAGGCCACGGCAGCCCCGTCCCCCCGCAAGCCCCCAACCCACCTGGAGGCCTGCAGGGCCGAGGCTTGGAGGTCCAGCATGACGTGCAGGTAGTAGTGGCTGAGGAAGACGCGGCGCTGGAGCAAGAGGAARAAGAAGCAGATGCTGTCCCAGATGATGCCGGCCTCCTCCACGGGCAGGGAGCAGTCCTGGTCCTTGCCCATCTCCTTGGCTGGCAGGGGAAGAGGGGRACGATGAGGCAGTGCCCCGGGGACGAGGCGGGTGCCAGGGTGGGCAGGGTCTGTCCCCCGGGCCGGGCACTCACGGTCGTAGTAGCCCTTGACGGTGCACACCAGGCTGAAGAGCTGGATCACCCAGCAGAAGTTGCTCTGCATCTGCTGCACGAAGACGCAGGAGAGGAGCTGCGGGGCAGAGCGGGGGCTCAGGCGCCGGCCGGAGCCCCGGGCCCCCCGGCACCCGCTCACCCAGCTCAGGAGGCTCCGGGCATTGCGAGGACGCTGCAAGGATGCTCCCGATGGAGATCCGTGGCTCCGCGATGCCCGGATGGAGGCGAGCAGCCYGGCGCCCTCACCGACAGCATGTTCTTGGAGATGATGACGGTGATGTTGTAGAGGATGAGGCAGTCCCAGAGCACCAGGCGGGCCCGCGCCGGCTTGCGCAGCATGGCAGTGCCGAAGAGCAGGAGGTAGAAGCAGGCGAGCAGGTAGCCGAGGCCGAAGAGGCTGATGCGGGTGGCCCCGGTGATGAAGACCACGACCAGGACGAACCAGAAGAGGTAGCGGAAGACCACCACCTTGGCCATGTCCAGGTAGGACCTGCGGGATGGGGCGCTCAGAGCAGGGTCCCCATTCCCTGCCAGCACCTCYCAGGTACAGATATAGGCTGCCAAGCAAGGAAGGGACAACCGAGGAGGACCCAAGAGGACGTCAGCCCTATCCAGAGATCCCAGTGCTCTTCTCAACTGGAGGTCCCATGGTAGGAAGCCCCAAGGTCCCACCCCAGGCTTGAGGAGCTCCCATCCCAGAGTCTTGTCCCAACCGTGAGGGTCCAGTCCCAGCCCTTTGAGGTCCTAGTGCTAAGGGGATGATGTCCCTGTCCCCAAAGAGCTCCAGCATTGAGGAGCCCATCCCCATGCATCAAGGACCCCACTGGATTCCTGATGTCCCTGTCCCCAAAGAGCTCCAGCATTGAGGAGCCCATCCCCATGCATGGAGGACCCCAGTGCCCGAGGGTCCCCATCCCCAAGGGGCACCACTGAGGACCCCTATCCCCAAGCAGCACCATCCCACGCCACGTCGGTGCTGGGCAGGGGTCCCAAGCACTCGCTGGGCAGGGCGACATCGCCATGGGCGCCCACCGGCAGTGGATGAAGTCGGGCGTGGGGTTGCGGGGCTCCCGCGGCGGCGCGTCCAGGCGGTCCGCGTTGTCGCCGCCCGCGCGCCGCCACTCCTCGCTGCGCTCGGCCGCGAACACCCGCCACTGCTGCGCCGCGCACAGCAGCAGCACGAAGTCGTCTGCAAACACGCGGATCAGCGCCGGCACCGCCCCCGGGGCGGGGCTAGAGCAAGCCACGCCCGTCAGCAAGCCACGCCCATCAATCAAGCCCCTTCCTCCAGGGGAGGAACTATTGCAAGTCTCCTCCTCCAAAGGGATGGACACTCGGCTATTAGGGATGGGACTCCCATTAAGCTCCTCCCCTAGGGAGGTGGAGTCTCCACCAAGCCCCTCCCCCAGAGAGTATTTCTAGGCTCCTCCCCCAGGGAGGTGGAGTCGTCACCAAGCTCCTCCCCCAGGAGGTATTTCTAGGCTCCTCCTCCACAGGAATGGAGACATCACCAATAGGGATGGGGACACCAGCAAGCTCCTCCTCCGTGGGTTAGGGTTTCTAGCAAGCCCCTCCCCCAAGGGGGTGGGACCTCTGCCAAGCTCCTCCCTGTGGGTGGGGCTATTTCCAGACTCCTCCTCCACAGGGATGTGGACCCTGCCATTAGGGATGGGACCTCCACCAAGGAAATGGGATCTTCCCTAAGCTCCTCTCCCAGTGGGTGGGGCATCCATCAAGCTCCTCCCCCAGGGGCAGGACCTCTACCAAGCTCCTCCCCTAGAGGGGCAGAGCTAATTCTAGGCTCCTCCTACCCAAAAGGGGCGGAGCCCACCCTAACTCCACCCCTGCCAGCTGCCCTGCCTGGTCACCCATGGGGAGAGGAGGGGACCACTGGGGCTTGGGTGGCCAGGGACACCAAGGAGGGCACAGGGGCGGCGGGCACTCACTGATGAGGTTGGTGGACTTGGGGGGCACGTAGAAGTCGGGCAGGTAGAGCCACTTGATGAGCGCCGAGTTGATGGGCAGGGACCGGCTCCAGCGCCAGGGATAGTCTGGAGGGGTCACCAGCAACCTCAGTGACCACTCACCCCACCGCGTCCCCACGCGCGTCCCCACGGCCCTCACCGATGCAGAGGGCGGGCGGCATGCCCACGCACAGCAGGTACTGGTAGAGGAGGAAGACCACGAGGAAGAGGCAGTACTTGGGCCAGAGGCGGGCGATGGCCGCCCGCCGGCGCCGCGTGAGGATGACGACGAGCCAGCAGCCGTGCAGGATCACCATGAAGTTCATGCGCTGCCCGATCACGTTCACCGTCATGAGGAAGCAGATCTGCGCACGGAGGATAAGCCACAGCCCCGAGCCCCGCGCCGGTGCCCGCGGGCGCTTGCCCGCTCCTCACCTCCAAGCCGAACTTGTAGTAGAAGTAGTTGAGGAAGTACTTGGCGCAGCTGACGAGCCCGTGGTCCAGGTGCTCGCGGGACACGTCCTCAAAGATGGTCTCGGTGACGGGGGCCACCAGCTGGAACTGCTTGCGGTAGTAGGCCTGGCGCCGGTACACCACGGCCTCGAACACCAGCAGCAGCAGCACCTGCAGGTGGTTCTGCGCAGGAAAGAGGGTGCTCAGGATCCCCACGGATGCCCCATGGCCGAGTGGAGGTCTCCACGGGCATCCCGGTGCAGGGAGCAGCCTGGATCGTCCTCACCCACCTGGATGTAGCCCAGGTTGGGGAAGCCCTTGCGGATGCCGAACCAGTTGGCGGGGTCCACGGGGCCCCGGTACAACGTGGAGTTGACCAGCTCCTCCGGGCTGAGGTTGGTGCCGTTGAGCTGGGGCTGCGAGGGGAGCACGATATGGGTGTCAGCACCACGGGCAGACCCTGCCCGCACCCACATCCCACCCAGCGCTGGGCATCTCTGGGTAGACCACGACATCGGGCATCCCCAGCTCGGTGGCACCCGCGCRTCCCCAGGCACCTGGGTGCAGTTGCTCGAGTACTCGCTGGGGTCGACGATCTTGAGCTGGTAGAGCATCTTGCAGACGATGATGATGCAGGTCCAGACGGTGGAGAGGCAGGAGGCCATGTGGCGGAAGCGGCAGTAGGGCATGGCGAAGGCCCACAGCAGCACCAGCAGGAAGTTCATCAGCGAGACCTGGGCAGGCGCCGGCGTCACGGCCCGGCCACCACCCCGGCAGAGGGGCCGGTGCCCTCGGGGACAAGCGCAGCTGGTGCCCCTACCTCCTGCAGGGCCACCCAGACGGTGTAGAGAGCCACGAGCTTGAGGATGTGCAGCTCGAGCAGGCGCCCCACGAAGACCTGCACCTGGGTGAGCCGGTCCGAGAAGGCCCAGCCCAGCACGATGAGGCGCTCCAGCACCAGCCCCCATTTGGAGGGCGCTGTGAGGACATGGATTGTCACTGTCCCGTSCCTATGCTCTCCCTGCCTGCTCCTAGATTGGAGGACACCCCCTCCCACCCTGCATCCCTCCTGCTCCACCCTGGAGGATGCCCTGTCCCACTCTGCATCTCTCCACCACCAGCCTGGAGGATGCTCCATTCATCATCCCTCCTATCCCATCCTGCAGGATGCTCCATCCTAAACTGCATCTCTCCTGCCCCGTCCTGGAAGATGTCCCATCCCAACCTTCATCCCTCGCGTCCCATTCTGGAGGATGTCCCATCCCATGCTGCATCCCCCCAGCCCCATCCTGCAGGATGCTCCATCCCAACCTGCATCCCCCCAGCCCCATCCCACAGGATGCTCCATCCCAACCTGCCTCCCTCCAGCCCCATCCTGGAGGATGCTCCATCCCAACCTCCATCCCCCCAGCCCCATCCTGCAGGATGCTCCATCCCAACGTGCATCCCTCCAACCCCATCCCGGAGGACGCATCCCCTGCCACCCCAGTACCCTGGGATGCGCTGTCGGAGTCGTCGCCGTCGGCCCTGGCGCTCTCGGCGGCGGCCGCGTCCCGCAGCAGACGGCTCCCGTGCAGCTCCTCCGGCCTGAGGACAGGAGCTCAACTCAGATGTGGGCTCACGTGGCACCCATGGGTGCCCGGCGCCCRCGCGGGGCCCTACCTGGGGATGTGGCAGGGCTGCGGCTCGGGCGCAGGGATGTGCTCCAGGTCGGTGATGAGCATGAAGGGCCGGTGGAAGTAGTGGAGCTGCAGGATGCAGGCCAGCAGGAAGAAGCCCGGGATGAGGGTGCTGGAGAAGAGCTCGGAGACGCTGAACTGCTCCAGGCCCAGGTCTCCCAGCCTGGGCAGGGAGAGAGCGCTTAGCGCGGGGCCGCATCCATCCCATCCCAACTGGTGGCACCCTCAGTGCTGGCATCCCTTGGCCACCTCTCCGTGCCCGTGCCCCTGTCCCGGGGCCACTCACTGCTCGTTGGTGAGACCCGTCAGGTTCCTCCAGTACATGGGGAAGTCCTCGAACTGGAAGGTGTAGACGGCGATGAGCACCAGCATGGTGTAGGCCACCACGAGCCACCAGAAGCCCTTGAGCACCTTGCGCCACAGGCTGTAGTACACCTGGAGGGACAACACCGTGACACCAGCGCATTGGGGACAGGGTCCTGGGCAGGCAGTGACTTCCAGATCCTACCTGGAAGAGGGTGAGGCAGAGCAGGAAGAGGAACATGTAGACGATCTTGTAGACGACGAGGCGCCCGGCGAAGCTCACCACGATGAACATGCCGGCGCACACGCAGATCCAGTACTTGGCGTAGAAGTCACGCACCAGGGCGCCCAGCGCCTTCAGCACGTCCTGCTGCCGGCTGGGCTCTGCAAGGCGCCCGCGCAGCTGCTCAGGGCCGCCTGCGGAGCCGCCCGGACGCCGGGGCCCAYGGGGCRTCCCCGGCAGCGTCCCCGGTCCACCCCGCCGGCACCCTCACCCGTGTCCGACACGGTCACCTCCAGGAGCGGCGTGGACGGGCACTGCCGCGTCAGCAGCTTCTCCTTGACGAACTGCCGCAGCAGGAGCCAGAAGGTGAGGGTGAGCAGGAGCTGCGGGGACGGGCGGTGAGTGCGGCGGGTCCCGGCGCCGGCGGGCGCGGGGACGGCGCCGGCGGCCTCACCTTGGCGCCCAGGTCCAGGCAGGGGTACTTGGGGTGCACCAGCCCCAGCTGCTCGAGGCTCATGAAGCCGAGGCGGGCGGGCAGCTCGGGGGCCAGCTCCATGGCCCACACGTACTGGGCGCTGCAGAGYGCCACGGCGTAGAGCAGCAGGAAGGGCGAGCAGAGCATGGCGAAGTGCTGCCGGCTCCGCACCACCCAGATGAGGCAGGCCCAGAGCAGCAGCACGAACGTGAGCCAGCTGTGGTACGTGATGCTCCACACCTGGGCGGGGGGCAGCGGGCGGCCGCTCGCGGGGGCTCTCCCGATACCCCCCCAGCCGCCAGGATAGCGGGGGACAGCATCCCGTCCCCCTGCCCGTGTCCCCTCCTCACCATCATGGCGATGAGGGCGCAGACGTAGCTCTGGCTCATGACGACGTGACCCAGCGTGTGCAGCAGCGGCCGCTCCGAGCGCCGCTTCGCGCCTGGCCGCGGGGAGCGGGAGCTGTGAGCCCCCCGGGAGCCAGGCCCCCGCTCTGCCCCACGCCTGGGCACTGCCCTGCGTGCAGGCAGCTTGGGGGCTCGCTGCCTGGGTCGGGGCCAGCTTACCCGGTGGGGACGCGGTGCCCGCGACGTGCACGGTGCAATTCGGGGGGCCGCTGCCCGGGTTCCTGGCGCCGGGGCACAGCATGGGCTGGGGGCAGAGAGAGGGGCTGAGCGGGGCGAACCACCGTGCCCGGGGACCCCCCCACATGCCGATGGGGACACGGTGCCCGYGCACCCACCTTGGTGTCGTCCGCCAGCCCATCGCCGTCCCTGGGCCAGCTCTCCAGCTCCAGCAGCTCCCGCTCCCGGCCCCTCTCCGGCGGCTGGGCTCTCTGCAAGGCAGGAAGCACCCARCTCACTCCGCCACCTGGGCCAAGGAGGGGATCCCATCCCCTTCCCATCCCATCCCCACCATTGCTGGGGCACCCAGCATGGTCCTGGCGCCCTGGATGAACCCCCCRGGCGCCCCTCACCCTCTGGGCAGCATCGAGGCGCCGCAGCTTGAGCAGGGTGGCCACGGTGTAGTAGAGTAGGAGCAGGATGCCAGGGTGGGCGTAAACGGGCCASGGGTGGCCGGTGTTGAGTGCCAGGGCATTGGGCCGGGAGCAGTTGGCGTAGACGATGATGTCCTTGAAGCCGAAGAGGCTGCGGGCACCAAGCGGGAGGCGCTCAGCCCATTCCGGGAGCCGCATCCCGGCATGGGGGGACATCCCGCGGTGGGACTCACCGCGCCCAGAGCGTGGGCGGCGGGAAGACCCCCTGCACGAAGGGCGTCTGGTAGGCGTAGAGGCAGAGCAGGTGGGCGCCGGCGTAGAGGCCGACGAGGCCGCAGAGCGCGTCGAAGGCGGCGCGGCCGGCGGGCACGTGGCAGGCCCACCACGTGCACAGCCCCACGAAGAGCACGTAGTAGACGCCGGAGGAGGCGGAGGGCAGGGCGATCCCTGCGGAGCYGCGGGAYGTCAGCGCAGYGCCCGGGCGGCGCCRGCACCGCCGCGCTCCCGCTGGGAACGCCGCGGCTCCTCTCACCTGCCAGGGCCAGCAGCAGGACGGCCGAGGCGGTGGCGGCGGCGCGCAGCAGCCGGTGCGCGGTCACCCGCAGCTTGGCGCTCAGCGGCGTCCCCTCGCTGGCCGTGCCATCGCCACCGCCACCGCGACGCTCCACGTCCTCCTCTTCCTCCTGCTGGTGACAAGAGCGGGGTCCTGAGCCGTCCCTGCGTGCCCAGGGCCACCCTGCTCCAGGGCTCCGTGCTCCAGTGTCCCCATGGAGCATCCCGTGCATGGCCGGGGTGCAGCGGGGTCCCGGGAAYGCCAGCACCCCAAGCCAGCTCCCACCCGCAGCTCAAGCCATCGGGTTTTTAAGGAAGGAGGAATGTGGAATCACGTCCCCGCAGGGAGCAGCCCTGGGGTACGGCACGGCGGGGACACCCTGAGCGGGCGCGTGGCCCTGCACCTGGCCGTGTTTATCCCATTAGCCGCTCGGGAAGCGCCCGCCAAGCACGGCTGTTTTCCTTGGCACCGGGGCGCGGGTTCCCGGCGCTGAGCGTTTTTCCAGGCTGCTTTTCCGCGCCGGCCCCGCGCTCACGGCAAAGGCATCCGCATCTGCCCGCGCTCCGGTTACAGCCCGCGCGGCCGCCCGGGCTCGGCCGCCCCGCATAAAGCGGCTCTGTGCGGCCGGGCTGTTTGCCGGGATCCCTATGGAAACGGCGCGGAAAACACGGGCCGCTCCGGCGGCCGCCGGCTGAGTCAGCGCAGCCTTTACGAGGTGCCGCGCGCGGGGGAGCCGCAGCCGTGCGGGAGCCATGCRGATGGAGCCGGCGTCACCGGGGATTCCCAGGGAGTGCAGCTGGCAGCACAGGACATGCCGGCATGTGGAGCAAAGGAACCGCGTAGGGATGCGGGAGCTGCAGGAGGGACAGGCGGGGGACACGGACGCTGCCACCCACCCGCTCAAGGGGCTCCGAGGGCTCCGGTCTCCGTGCGCGGGACTTGGGGACGAGGCGGCGGCACAGGCCCAGGCAGAGCGCGGACACCAGCAGGATGCCGGCGTCGGGCGCCACAAGGCGCACCACGTTCGGGATGTCCTTGAGGTCCAGCCTGGCGGGGACAGTGACAGCAGCGCTCAGGGATGTGCCACCATTGCATGGGACGCAGGGCTGCATCCCATCGGACTGTGACACCCGGCACAGCTCCCAGCCCTGCACCAGCCCATGCGGACACCGAGCTCGGCAGCATCCCAAGGGCTGCGGATGCTCCTGCTCCGGGGCCACCCCTCACCTGGTGACGCCGATGTGCCGGGCCAGGATCTCCCAGGTGCTGCCTGCGGGAGGCACGGAGGTGCTGAGCGGTGCCAGGGCCTGCTGAGCCCCGGCGTGCTCATGACAGCGATTCCTGGCCGCGCCGCTGCCCGCATGCCCCGTGCTGCACCGCGGAGCAGCGCTCAGCACCCGGCAGGGTGGATGCAGCGGCAGCAAACGGCACCCGGCTCGTGGCTGGGGCACGTTGCCCACAGGGCGCCCTGCTTGCCCAGCCCACACGGCGCCCGGTACTCACAGCTGGGCCCCAGCAGCTGGTCGAGGATGGGCAGCGTGTGGAGGCATATCTGGAAAACCACGTGGGCGGTGAGGAAGAGGATGCTGGTTCCCAGGAGGGCTTTGAGGAGGCGGCCGGTGTGACCTGCAGGAGGGGACAAGCGCCGTCACCCAGGACATGGCAGCMCCCGGCGCACCAAGGGCACCTCTCCATGCTGCAATCCTGGGGAAACCAAGGCACAGAGCAGTGCGGGGAGCCAGAGCATCCTCCTGCTCCAGCACCAGCTGGGGAAGGGGCTGATTCCGGGCCACCGGAGCAGAGATCCCACATGGGACACTCCAACCGCAGCCGGCAGCTCCCCCCTCCCATGCCCATCCCGCCCGGAGCRCCAGCCCGGCGCTGCCTCCCCTTCCCACGGCTGGAATTTCCCGGGGGCGGCCGCGGGGCAGGAGCCAGCGATCCCCCACGCCGGCCGTGCCRCGGGCCCCGTCACACCTTCCACCAGCTGCGGCCGGGCCCCCGGGCCCCGATCCCACTTTCCCTGCCGCTGGAACGGCCGGTGCAGCCGCGGCCCCCGCTGCAGCTGCACCGGCCGGGGGGGCGGCCCCGCGCCAGCCTCTCCCTCCACTTGTTTTTTCCTGTAAATCCGCGCGCTGGCTCCGACGCCGAGAAGCCCATGAAATATTCAGAGGGCAGAGCTTTTAGCGACAGCAGCGCCCGGCGCTGCCAGCCCCACCGCAGCGCAGCCCGGCCTGGAGGGCACCCGCAGGGGGGCAYGGAGCCCCCTGCCCCATGGCTGCTCTCCTGCAGCACCGCCTCTGTGCGCCCCAGGTGCCCTGCATGGGGACGTGCTCTTTGCGCCCACCWTGGGGACGTGCTCTGTGCACCTGCTGCATGCACCCACTGCATGCACCCCTCCGTGACAATGCATCCCCATGCATCCACTGCATGTGCTTGCTCCCATGCTCCCATGCACGCTTGCCCCATGCACCTATGGCGTGCCACCACCATAGGGGACTTGCTCCATGCACCCACGACATGCAGCCACAGCAGGGACCAGCCTTGTGCACCTATCACATGCCTTCATATCATGCACCAACCATGGGGACCTGCCCAGTGCACCCCGGGCATGCAGCCACCATGGGGACCTGCCCTGTGCACCCAGGACACGCAGCCACCATGGGGACCTGCCCCGTGCACCCACAGCATGCAGCCACCATGGGGACCTGCCCCGTGCACCCAGGACACGCAGCCACCATGGGGACCTGCCATGTTCACCCACAGCAGGGGCAGCGGTGGCAGCACATCCCTGCCCGCCCCGCGGGCACAGCCCAGCTCTGAGGTTTCTGGTTAATAAGGCTGGGACTCGAAACTGCCCTTTTCATAGCCARGAGCCTATTAATAGCTGGGCTGGGCTATAATTAACGGAGCGAGGCTGGCGCACGGAGCCACACRTCCCCGCGCTGCGCGGCCGGGGGCAAACCACAGGGCAAGGGGAGCAGGTACCCGCGCGAGGACGGCTCGCAGCTCCCGTCCTGCRAGGAGGGGACATCAGCAGCCAGGGGACACCGCGGCCCCCCGGCTCTTACCTCTCACAGTGTGCTCGGAGGGCCCCAGGAACCAGGGCAGCAGCAGCAGGAAGAGCAGGTAGACCAGGGAGAGGACGTTGAAGCGGAAGAGACAGGCTGGGGACAGAAGCACAGGTGGAATTAGCCCATTGCAGACCCACATCACAGCACTGGGAGCCGCTGGGGTGAACCCAGCAGGGAGCCCAGCGCCCCTAACCCCTGCAGTGCCCAGGAGCGGGTGCATTTGGATGCCCTCGGCTCCTTTGCACACACAGCTGCGAGCCCCAGGCTCGCCAAGGTCCCAAGAAAAGCACGGAGGGGAGAAAGGAGCTTGTCCCRTCTCTCCCACCCGTCCCCATTCAGGGGACACCCCACTGGGAGGCATGGTCCGAGCGACACCGGTGCAGCGCCTGGCACGTGCCCAGGGGCTCTGCTCCATCAAGGGGCAGCTCAGAGCCCTTGGCACAGGAGAGAAGAGCACAATCAGCTTTATTCCAACGGGCAAAACAACCCCCTTCCCGTAAGGCTGAGCTGCGCTCGCTGCCATCCCTGTGCCCACAGCCACCCCAGGGGGCTGGGGGACACGGGGACCCTCCAGCAACGCGGGGCAGCGAGCGGAGCCTCGGTCCCCGGCCAGTCCCCAACCCCAGCCCTGCTCCGGACACGCCACCCTCTGTGCACCTTCCTCTCGCTTATTTTTAGACCCAAATTACAGCTTGTTTTCAGGCGCAGATGCGGTGGAGGAGCCGGGGAGGGAGCTCTGCACCGAGCCAGCACCCCCGGGGCTGCCACCAGCGGGGACAGGGTCACGGTGTCCCCTGGCTGCACGAGCACTGGGCAACCCATAGCAGTGCCCATACCCGAGCCAGCAGGGACGGAGGCGGCTGCTGGGGTGGGAAATACTGGAGACGGGCACAGGGGGGAATGTGCAAGAGCCAAGGAACCCCAGGGCCGCCCAGGAGGGGACAGTCACAAGGCCTGGCTGGGACAGGGACACTCGTCCCTTCCCTGCACGGCCAGGGGAGCAGGGCAGACCGGGAGCCAGGGACGTGCTCTGCACCAACAAGCCGGGCACGGCCCTTCCTGTGTTTATGGATCCTATGGGATGGCTCATCCCRGAGCCACATGGAGCAGGGAAGACGCTCAGCCCCTGGCAGGACCCCCTCCAGCCCGGCACCCTCATCCCGCACAGGAACGGGGAATGCCCCGGACAGGGCACAGATCCCACCTCTCCCATGCAGCACCCTGGGGTGGGTTCCCYGGGCCCTGCTCGCAGCCCCTGCCCACGAGGGCCCCGCGGCCRGCGCTGCCCCCCGCCCGCGTCCCCTCCCCGCCGAGGGCTGCGTTTCGGCAAACCATGACCTCATGGAGCAAATATTCCCCTTCCCGCGCCAGCGAGAGGAGCTGCGCCGGGGAGGCCGCGAGCACCGCGCCGGGACCGGCCCTCCTSGATGGTGCTCCGGGATGGGGACACCCAAAGGCGCCCGGAGACTCAKTCCTGGTGCCATCCCCACCCCAGGGACACTGCCAAGGAGGACAGGACTGGTGTGAACAGAGCTCCCTGTTGGCATCACCAGGGCTGGGATGCAGGCAGCACTGTGGGACACCCTTCATGAGGACACGGACTGCAGGCACATGGGTGCTGCTGGCACCACAGGGACACTGGGGACAGGGACAGCATCCCAGGAGGAGCTGATGGGCTCCAACAGCATCCAAGCAGGCCCCAGTTTGTGGGGACCCCCAGTTTGTGGGGACCCCCAGGCACTCTCCCCAGCCCAACAAGTGCATTTAGGCTGCAGGCAAGAGCCAGAGGGGCAGGGGGGCACCCGGCTGCTGCAGGCCAGCACCGTGTCCCCAAGAAGCCCCTGGAGCAGCCGGGACAGCCCCAACGCCGCTCAGGGATTAACCAGCGGCGCTGCAGCCGGAGCCAGCAGCACTTGAAATATTAAATCCAGGTTAAAACATGGAGAGCAGGATAAATCACAGCGAGATGCACGCGACCTCATTAAAGAGCAGCCTTTAATCGTCCCTCGAGAGCCGGTGCAGCGTGAGGCTGCTGCTGCCCGGCGCTGGCGCATCCCACAGCAGCACCCACAGCACCCGCTCCGGGGCTTGGCGCGGCCACTCTCCTCGCGGGACTGGCAGCCACGCAGTGTTAATTAGCGCAGCTCATTAATCAACTGCACACGCTGCTGGTTCTGCACAGCCCCATTACCTGCTGCAGCAGCCGAGTCCTGAGAGGGGTTCAGTGCCCAGAAGGACCAGGGCATCGCTCTGTGCCATGGGGCAGAGCCAGCCAAATCCCAGCCCCAAGGGGCACCAGGCAGCTCTGCCYGCTCCCAGGAGGATATCGTGCACGGGGACTGGGCGCATTTTGCAAGGGCCCAGCGCAGCGGCCCTTGGGGACCTGGCACTGCTGGAGAGGCGGCCGCAGGCACAGGGGCCGTGTTGCCGGCTGCATTCCCAGCACACCCCGAATCCCCTTTCCGGGATGGGGAACCAGCCGTGACACTTCACCCTCTGCATCCTGTTTTTGTGGAAAAACACATCCCGCTGCCGGCAGCGCCGCCGGGATGGCTCCCGGATGGAGCTGCCCTGGGGCACCAGGTGGGCACTGCGCCCATGGTGGGTGCAGCGCTGCCACTAGCCCCAGGGAGGTGGCCCCTGTGGCCACCTCCATGTCCTTGCCCACGGGAGCAGCATGAACAGAGCCAGCCTAGAGCAGGGCCAGCTGGGGGAAGGTAACAAGATCCCAGGTACCTCCCGTCACCTCTAGTGCCACTGTGGCACCAGCACCACAGTGCCCCAGTCCTGCTCCCAGCCCGGCGAGGACGCAGGAGCGGTTTCTCCTGAAGACATCCGCAGCCTTTTTATTTWTWTWTTTTTTWAATTTCCCCTCATTTATAAAAAGCACCTGACCGCAGGAGGCTGCTGCCCACAGCCCACACGCCCGCTGGGCACAGGCAGCCCAGCCTGGCACCCCGGGGGGCTTGGGGACCCTCAGAGGGGCCACTCCATGTCCTCGCCCTGAGCCACAACCCTGGGGACACGCAGCCGCCACCACCTCCCCGCGCGCGCTCGGAAGAGCCCTAATTGCAGGGGAAGGAAGGCCGGGAGGCCGCGGGCGGAGGCGGCCGCCACTGCCCCGGGGGGGCCCTGGCTCTGTCCCCCCCGGCCGGTTCCCTCCMGAGTGGCTGCTCTGTCACCGAAGCGGGAGCGCCGGAGCCGATGTCCTGCCAGCAGCTGCGCACGCCAGGCTCCAAATTTAAACACACTCCCGATGCAGCCGGGGGAATATTACACCCGGCTACTAGGGTTTCGGGAGCCGCAGCATCCCGGCACAGAGCCCCACGGGCTGCACGYGCTGCTGGCGGAGGGACCCGGGGGGGCACGTGCCACCGGTGGTGCCACGGTCCCCCGCGCAGAGCCAGCGGGGAGGCTGCGTGCGGCAGCGCCCGGACACCTTCCAGCCCGGCTCACGGCAGGGTTATAATTAACCTCCTCACATCCTGCACTGAGTCACTCCCCGCGCAAACTGGAGCAAATAGAGAAGCTTTTTCAACAGTCACCAACTTCCTCCGCCAGCGAGTCTCGAGTTGCCTCCGCCGGAGGCCCAGAACGGCCGGGTGGAGGCTGCAAAAGCCGAAATGCAGCGAGTCAGCTGGCCGCGGCCCCTGGGTGCCACTGCGGGCAGCGGTGACACCCGCTTATCGCACGAGCCGCCTTGCGGCTCCTTCCGGCCACCCCGCGGTGCCCACGGGCATAAGGAGCCCCTTGACCGGGGCTGTTTACGGAGCACCGGGCTGCCCAGCCCCGCGGAGCATTTCCCTGGCGTCTATTTAAAGGTAAACCCAGAGTCCCCGAACACGTTTCCCCAGGCAGCCCAGGTTCAAAGAGCTGATTCTTGTTCGGCGAGTCTTGGGACACGGGTATTTTCCAGGCTAGTAGCCAGACGATTGCCTAGGTGGGTGGCGCATCTGCCTTCAAAGGCTAACATTGCTTAAAATGGGCTTAGAGCAGCTCCACCGGGATGGTGCCGGCGGCCGCAGCGGGGTCCACATCCCRCCGCCTGCCCCGCGTGAGCCCGAGYAGCTCGTTGCACAAGCAGCTCCCGGGAGCAGGTTTGCGAAATCCGGTGAGGAGGAATGCGGAGGGCGCGGGGAGCGGGCAAGGCCGCACCCGGAGCCGGCTGGCRGCCGCCGCGCAGCCCTGGCCTTCGGTGATAAAACTTGCAAAACAGCCACCGCTCCGGCCTCGGGAGGCRGTTTCACCCCGACGGGTCCCACGTGCCCGGGTACTGCGGGTGCCGCYGCACAGGACCCGGTGCGGCAGCTCTGCACGGCTGGGCGCCCGGCAGCTCCGCACAGTGCCGGAGCTGCCCTCGCAGGGCTCGGGAACAGGAGGAAAGCAGGGGTTCCCGCAGCAGYGGCCACCCCGCTGTCCCGGCCGCTGCCCCGGAGCGCCGGGCGCTGCAGAGCCGGGCACTGCAGAGCCGGGAGTCTCGCACGGCGGCTCCGCGCGGGCGGCCGCCTTCCCACGGGCTACACTGATTCAGCCGCTTTCCGGCCGCCGCAGCGCCCGCACCCCCCGGCCACTTCCTCGCTGCAGGGGGGAGCTGTTCACTCGTGGGTGGCCTTAGCGCCTGCCAACACCCCYGCTTTGGGGCACCCCACAAACCGCTGCCAGGCTCCCAGGGGTGTCCCCAGCACATGCAGCACGAGGGCGCTCAAATGCTTCCCACCCTCCTAGGACACTAGGGCAAAGGGGGGGACCCAAAAGCACCCCCTAAGCAGAGTGGGCGCCCGCTCCCCCCGCGGGCAGCGCTCCGGGCCGGGCCGATACAAAGTAGCGACGGGCGGATACAAAGTGTCCCGGGAAGGGGGGTCCTGGGGAAAGGGGTGGGGGGTCCCGGGAAAGGGGGGTCCCGCACTCACCGGCCAGCAGGGCCAGCGGCAGTAGCAGCCAGTAGAGGCCGGCGCAGAGGAGCCGCCGCTCCATGGCTGCAGGCGGCCCCGCGCCGCGCTCATCCCGCCGCGCCCGGGCGCAGCGGAGCGGAGCGGCCGGTC